AACATATAAAATATAAGATATATCTTGGTAATATCATTTGCATATGAAGGAAAGTGAAAAGCAGTAATTAAAATAAAGAAGAAAAAAGAATAAATAAAAAAGCATTATAAAACATGATTTTAGTAGAGAGTTAATATATATTTTAAATAGTAAATAGAAATTTAAGAAAATAAAAATGCGCAACGTTTAAGTGGGTTTTTTTTACAAAGGAGCCTATCAAATTCTGATTTTAATAAAACTTTATACACATATAGGTTACGTAAATTGATAAATTTAAAAATGATCAGTTGCGACCAATAAACATAAGGATTAAAATTACATCTTATATGTAAAACAGTTTTCAGCTTTTTTGTTACATCTCAAAAACTATTATAATATCAAAAAATGTTTTTAAAAAGTTTTTATAAATTTTAGAAATATAGCAAGAAAAGCTTTATATATAAAATGTTTTACATATAAGGGATGAATTTTCTTTGCTTGACCGCAACTGATATATTTTAAATTCGTCTATTTACGTAATGAGCGAGATTCCCTTATCAAAGCAAAAAGATTAAATTAGATTAGAGTTAAAGATTAGATTAAAGTAAAAGGAGGTTGAACACATTCAACCTTATGTTCTCCGAAACAATGTTTTTAGATTTTAAAAATGGTGAAATCATTAGGCTTTATGCGATTTCGAGGGTTTTAACGAGACTACAATGACGTAACAAGAAACATTAGTATGGTGTTTTTTTAACTAAAATCCACGTTTCAGAGTACTAAAGCGGAGCTGTAAAGTTCGTGTATGCACTTAAATTATCTCAAATGAGGGTAACGACAAGGTAGAAATGAAAAGAAAGCGCGCAGCGAATTCTCAGCTATAAACGGAACACAATAAATATGGGATTGCATAAAGGGGAAAAATAGTCTTTTGCTTCGTGCATTTGTATTTTCTTATATTTAATATTGTGAAATGGTAATTAATATAATTCCACGGCAAAAAAAAGGATATAATTATAAGAAAAGAATTTGTAATAAAAGTAATTTTTAGCTGTTCAAGAAATCTCATCATGTATAGTTAAAAACGATTTTTTTTTATTCCGTACATTGTTTCCTTAGTTTTCCAAAAAAGATCAATATAAATTTGCTTATTATTTCTTAACTTTATTATTTTCAAAAAACAATACGGAAAATGAATTATTGTTATTATTTTTATTAATTTTTTAAATCAATTGTTAAACTTTAATTTGTCTAATTGCCTAATATAAAGTTTCATTGCATTTGAAAATTAGCTAAACTAAAACTTATAATATAGAGAATAGAAGAATTTCTGATAAATAAATCAAGCTTGAAGCAACGCGAATCTCCCTGGTTAAACGATTGAAGAATGCTGAAAAAAACTATTCTTAGTAGTGTGTTGTAAGCAACTACGCTGTCTCTCAACTTCATATAATTAAATTTACGACGCGTAAATCGTCTGTGGTGCGCTAAATAATATGCTGCCATTCTACGTCAGACCGGCAATCTATAGTCAAGTTAGACAAAATTAAGGGGGTGAAAAGCAATGGGAGAAAAAAAGGATCTACTTAGCTTAGATCTATAAATTCCACGGATAATGAACCGCACCGGTTTTATATTGACGCGCAAAAAAACCTTTCGCACGGCGAGATAATTACGCGGCCACATGACGCTCGCGAGCCTCTAATAGTCTAATGCGATGAGAGTGCAACATAACTGTTCGTGAGCAACGATCATTATCTTCCAACTGAACACATTGACATATTAATCTCGTAAATTAAAACTCTATAAATGCTTACAGCGTATTCCGCTGTTTTTCGTGCATAAATATGTTAAACCAGAATGATAAACTTTTATATCTACGTTATTGGTACTCGAGCTTGCGAGAAATGAATGTTATATTATACATTAATCCTCTAGTAAGTAGTTCAATGTTGAAATAAGATGTATAGCTTCCTTCATATTCTAGAAATAGAATTTTTTTATTTGACAACAAAATTTCCGATTGCCAAACAATTCTTTCAAGAAACTGGTTAGCGTAGAAGTAATTTAGTAACGGATATGATGCATGAGATCATCATGGAAAATGTTAAGTAGAGACTAGACAAGGAAACGCGTGTTTTGAACAAAACCATGAAAATCTTGTAAAGGGGTTTTTCGACGAATCTTGTTAATTCCTTTTCCTGGTGATAAATTAATGTTATTTTCTAAAGTTACAAACGAAACGTAGCAACACAGTGGTACCTGGAACGGTCGTCAACCTAAGTCCATACGTGCGGATGTAGACGATGAAAAACTTGCGGCCGCGATAAGATTCGAAAGGAGCGATTAGCGGGAGACGGGAAAAAGAAGGATTTGACAGGAGGAAGCGGGCGGAGAAAGTCAATTATTCCTGGCCGATCAACTGGGAAGATCTTGTGTTTGCGGCTCTTGATATTGCGGCGCGGCCGGGAACTTACTTCACGGACATGAATGCAGAAATGCACTTCCTTCCGTTCGACGTTCGAATGATGATCCGCGATTTGCGATATTTCGACCGACACAATGTACTTACACGATGTACAGTGCTCGATAAATATCACACGCATGAATTAATTCGCTACAATTCACTTCCACAAAATGTCTCTATGGCTAATGTAGAAAGTTACAATGTTAAACATTTCAGTTTAACGAAAGATGTCATGCATGACCCTTATAGAAATTTAATACTACCATTGGCCAATTAATCACTTATTTTGAGTATTAAAAATATTGTTAGTACTAAAAATAATTAAGTGATTAATTGACTAGTATTAATCTATAAGGGATGATAAAGATAAAAGACTAAAGATAAAAATTGGCAGGGACATCTTATTGCCACTCAACAATAATGTAATAAGAAATATTATTATTATTACCAAGATTTAGTCTCGATTGTATTTGACATTACTTATTCGTGTTATTCACATTATGGTTTAATAACTAGATCTATGATCTCAGTAATAATGATAATAATACTTCTTATATAAATACAACTTTCAGTTAAATAAACTGCACACCAATCATTACTGCTGGATTTGAAACATAATCATAAACTGAAGCTGAAGTAATAATAATATCACAAATTGATATCAATTTAATAATAATGCTAATAAGTTATTAATATCAAAAGTATTGTAAAAGCTTATTGCGAAAAATATAAATGTAATATAACACACATATATTGTACGTAACAGTTATATTAATTATTGGATAGGAAATTAGAACATTGATGTAATATTATATACTATCAATTAGTATTTAATAGGGAATAATAATTCCGCATCCGCATGTACAGGAAAATCAAGCGTTTGAAATCGTCGATGAATAAAAAAAGCGAAACAGGATATTCAATCTCCTGTTGAAGGAGTTTTATAATCTGTACGTTTGCGCTTGCTGTACATTTGCGATTACGAGATACAGATATAATCGTAAACGAGAAAAATAACTAATAGTTTCGAGGCCGGGAGCAATAAGATCCGCACTTTCGCCATACTTATTAAGTATTAAGAAAATCGGAAACACAAAAAAGAGAGAGAGAGAGAGAGAGAGAGAGAGAGAGAGAGAGAGAACGAGAGGAAAAACGAAGCATACTCTGCGGTTAATATATGCGTGCTGAGGTAATTAAAATCACTCGGCTTGATTTTCCTGAAGTTATCAAGCGGCTGTTTATGCTAAGTAATTTGATGATGTGGTAATGGATGTAAATTTAAAAATAGGAAATAAAAAACTCATTACCGCAATCGTAACATTGTGAGTCCGTGAGTGAAATTAAAGATCACTACGGCAGATGGAAGATAATTTTACATTTTTAACAAAGACTTTGATATCCTGAGAAAAGAAAAATAATTTCGAAGATTGCGTGCGACGCCAACCCTGAAGAATGCTCTAAGCTTCGAAACGATCACCGTTATGCCTCCGATAATCCATTGGAAGTCGGTAACAGTATCTGAAAAGTCGGTATATAATCTACTGTAGTATGAAAGTCCTCACAATTGAATCCTCAGCGAGTTCTCAAGAACGATTTAGATTTTGATTTCAGTTCAGTGCATTCATAAAATTTATATTACAAATTTTGATATATAACTATTTGAATCAGCAATGTTGTTTTTTGTATTTTATGAATTTGTACGCGTATTTCTTTTTAGTTTTAATACATTTTTTAAAATTATTTATTAGATAGATAATTATTTATTAGATAGATAATAGATAAACCATATCTTATATTTTTTGCCTATTAATACAACCAAACTATTATAAAAATGATGACAATCTTAATAATATTCGAACGTTCTTAAAAAAAAAATATTAGATATTTTAATAAAATTATCTACCATATATGCATCGAAATGATATCAACGTGTTGATTTTTTACACTGACGTACTTACATTGATTTTATTGTGTATATATATATATATATATATAAAAGTTTGTTACATTCGCTTAATCTATATATACTTATATTATTTAAATTTAAAAACAGGAAATATAATAGAGTAAAACAATGTCGTAAAAAATAATGCTGTTTTAGTTTTCCCATGGAAAATCCTCCCTGTTAATTAAAGAACAGAATTATGTTTTGAAATAAATATGTGATTGAACGTCAAACAAGTTAATAATACAATTAAGAGAGTCATATACGAAAAAATATAATTTTTTTAATCATAGTTATAACGTTTACCTTCTTTGGAGAAGAATAAAAATGTGGAAGAACATTTCGCACGTCAATTAACGTCAGGGATTTTGGAAACTTCGTATAAACTACTCAACTTTTTCGTGAGCTAAGCAAGATATTAGACTAAGTTATCATGCGAATAATTCAACGACTAGAAACTTGCACAGAAATTGTTCGCAAGGCGTGGTGGAAGACGGGTGTGATTGGGACGCGCGGGTTCCTATCAAGGTCTCTTCGCCGGATCGCCCTGAGCCACCCCGCCGTATAAAACGCCCTTCTCATTGGCTTCTGGGAGCACTGTTGCGCTTCCCGCTGCATAAGAATCCATTATTTCCTCAACATGAGTCCTGTAGTCGTAAGTATATATCCATTTAATCTTAAATCACGCTCTTGTCAAATCATTTAACACATAATAATAGAATTCTATATAAAATATAATAAAAAATATATAATTAAATTTAATGAAATATATCACAATATAATTATATATGTCGTAAAACGATATATTAAATAATAAGAATATTTTGTATTTAATTATATCATTTAGATTTTAGATTCTTAGATATTTCATTTCGTCGAACAAAAAAATTCGCTTTTATATTCAATTTTATTTTCATTACATACACAGATTATTTTGTTGGGTGTCGTCATCGGTGTCTCCTGCCAAGAACCTCATTACCAATCGCCGCATCAAGCGGCGATTTTAAGCGACGCGCGTTATCTCGCAGGTGATGGCACATTCGGTGCTGCCTACTCTCAAGAAGACGGAGTGGAATTTAAGGAGGAAAGCGACATAGAAGGTAATCGACGTGGATCATACTCATACATCGACCCAACCGGGCAAAGACGCACCGTCACTTATACAGCGGGAAAGAACGGATTCCAAGTACGTAAAGTGCACATTATACTCTCTTGCTACTAATTAAATCTATTTATTAATTTTGATGCTAAATTTATAACATTTTATAATTTATCTCTTCGCTAGATTTTTTATAATTCAATTTTGTGATGCTAAATTTATAATTTATTAACTTTTTTATATAACTTTTTATATAAAATATTATATATAAATAATATTTAAAAAAAATTAGATCTAAAGTTTAAAAAGAGTTTATTAATTTATTGCAAAATTAATCATACGGGGGGTAATATAAAGCTCAAGTTCACTCGATTCTACCTCATTAACTTTAATCGATTTTAAATTAATCTTGAATTTTGTCTCACAGGCGACCGGAGATCACATTCCTAGTGCACCCCCGCAAGTGCCACCGCAGCCGGAGTACGAACCGTTGGCGCAATATAATCCGTCGGATTACCAGCCTCCGAGTTACGCACCGCCATCCCCTCAACAATATCCACGGCGCTATCAATCGGATTACGAGCCGCAATCTGTTGTTTATCAACCGCGGTCTCAATCGCCACCTCCTCAGCAGTATCCGCGGCGTTATCAACCGGATTACGAGCTACAACCTGTCGTTTATCAACCGCAGCCTCAACCGCAGCCTCAACCACAGCCTCAACCGCGGCTTCAACCGCAGTACCAGCCGCAGCCGCCACCTCGCTATCATTATCCTTCGGAGTTGCAAGGTATACCCTCGTATGCGCCACCGAGGCCACACTATCAATCCCAACTTCGCCCCGCACCACAATATAACGTGATAACGACACCGGCCTCGGCGCCGGCGCCGGCGGCGTCCAGGAATTTTTATCCGCCGGGAAAGCTCAGCTTCAATCGGACCCCCGACGGCTTCTCTTATATGTTCAGCAAAAGTTGAGTGGCACGTGAGTTATGTGATATGAGAAGCGATAACAAATCTGAGATAAGATTAATTAATTAATTTAACAAAAGAATTTTAGTTTTGAAATGAAAATGTGATTAGAGTGTCAAAAAAGTTAATAACCATCAAGAGAGTTATGTGAAAAATAATTTTTTTTAATTAGTCGTGATCTCGGCGTTTTTTGTTTTTATTTCATGTTCTAAATTAATTCTAAATGTAACTCGATTATAATAATTATTATATTTCTTTTTTATATAAATTTATCATCAATAACCCTTCAAAGTATTTATATATATTAAAATGTATTCTCATAAGAGTTCCCTTACAAAGCAAGTCTCTACACGATATATATCTCCGCGTCTGAAGAATAAAACGTTGAAACTGCAGAATCGAATGACTTCATCGTGCAATGCTCGATGTACCTTACATAGCGATTTCCCGTACAAATGCGAGTATAATCACGTGCTCCATAGGGTCGACTTACTTTCATCCGGTAACCTTTGCGTTCTCTATAGTGTTGCAACCGAGAATCCCACGATATTGAAGGAAATGTGGGATACGCCCGATATATATATTTATACGAGGAATGTTATATCAAAAGTGTGTGTTCATTAATTCTCTGCCATGTTTTTATTTAACTCATAATTGTAATTAAATTTATTTAATACAAATATCATAACAGGATAATTTTGACTTTAATATTAAATAAAGATATATATATTTTTTATGTTATAAATGAATTAAAGACATGTTTCCTTCTTGTTTATTTTATAAGCGTCATAAAATAGCGCTTATGTTACTAATATTTTCGAATAAAAATTCTTTTATTAAAATTAATTTGTAGTCAATACGTACACGTAAATTTAAACAGCCATCTATTATAAAATACCGTCGAAATAGCGTTGCGTCGTGTCTTGTTCTATGCAAGACAGCGAATTACTGGCCGAAACGGAAGAAAGGAGGAACAAAGGAACGATTATCTTATTATCCAAGCTCGAGAGTGAAAATGCGAGGCAGGGAGTCGGCAAGGGCGAGGAAATAAAAATGCAACGAAGTCGAGCCGGTTCGCTAGCCATTATTATTGTTGGCCGTAACACGGGCGCGGCACAATCCGGCAAGGCGAACCGCCTGCATCCGAGCAGGAACTCAGCAACCTTAAGTAGGCAGAAAGAAATGCAAACTGATATTCTAGGTCACTCCGACATTGTCGCCAGAGAAAACGCCTTCTTATATCATTGTGCGAATTGATGTTTTATTATCGATTTTACCGTTGTAACGCTAGTCCGTCTTTGTCACCGAGTAAATCTTATACGCAAAGAGATTAACATCCAATTGATTGACACAATACATTGATTGATGCAATAAATGCACAACGTGGTTCTTTTTTAGTCGCGTTTTATTTATAAAGGTATATTGAGTATACATTTCGTTTCGTATATAATTATGGCAGTAATATACAGACTCTGATTAGCTGCGCGTGACATCAACAGTATAAAAGTAGTCTAAAACAGCTGATGTAGAGGCAGTGTGGCATCGAACGTTCACTCTCCTCGTAACAGAAGGACGAAACGAAAATAAACGCCGTCTTACCTAAATAACTAACTTATGTTAATGTTTTTTTTTTTATTTATGCCAGTGTGCCTCCCCAATACGTGAATTTCAAATAATGACGGTGTGAATAAATTCCAGAGAAAAGGCACTATGCGTCGTCTATTCTTCCAATCCTCAACGCACGAGAATGTTACGCGTTTTCTTGAACGCGCGTAACTTCTTTTCATTTCACTTTTTCTCCCCCTTTCTTTTGTATAAAAAAAAAATCTTCATAAAGAAATCCAAGTTATAATGCCTGTGTACGCACACTCTCACGCTTACATTAAACGGTATATTGAAGCGTGTAATCGACCTGCGTTTTTTTTTACACTCGCATAGCTGGCTGGCTCGAGTATTCCTAATGTTCTCTATCAAACACTATTAACATTAAACATTATCGATTTTGTAGGCATTAATTATTTATCTCCTCAAATGCAAACAGTGGTTGACTCCAAAGGCATTGATTTAAATTTGATTGCACTTTCATCTCAACATACGCGCGATAAGAAGACAGCATAGCGCGCGCAATTCAGAGACGAGCGTCATAAAGTAAAAAAACTGGCCTCATGGCGGGTAGGACTATTCACTAATCTCACTACGCTAAAAATATAAGTTCGGCTAAAGACTCGGGACGTACCCATAATTGCTTGTCATGCATACGATAGTCTAAGGTAGTCGCTATTGTCGCGGTAATTATACCTCTAGTTATAAATGTTACGTTACACAAAATATACGCTCAGCGTTAGGCTCCGACTTTTGATTTTTATATCATCGCAGAGGCACGGTCGTCTCATAAAACGACCATCGAATGGAAAACAACCCGGAAGCGGATTTGTACGTGGGGCAGGAGGCACGGCAGTCTCGCGTTCTTAGCGCATTCTACTGGCTTATCTTACAGAACTATTCTAAGGAGATGAGAGGAAGCTTTAAGCGCTGTAACAAGCGAATCCTATCGGCTTCTTCTGGAAGATATAGTTTGTTCACAATGCAATTCACATTAAAACGCTTGAGTCTGCCAATATGTTGACGCGTATATTCGTTCGTAACGGAAACTGGTACTAGATTATTGTCGCTAATAATTTTCCGTTGCGAATAATGGACATATTCGTATACATACATACTTTTCCTTTTGATAAAACAACGGAATTATTTGCCAATTTACATATACTCCGAAGCTGTATTGTGCAAAATCTAAATAAAATCACAGACGCAATAGATACAGACTGTGCATTCCTTGATATCAGCATCACTCTTCAAATCAATACTTTAAAGAAAGAAAGCATATAGATCGATCTATCTTTCTTTTTATAACGATAGTGATAACTTCATATGCAGAAATGCGTAGTTTATACTTATTACGTTTATGGATATAACACGCGCGCGCAGGGGAGAAAAATTATAAGATAAACTTTCTTCACACTCTACATTTCTCCGCGCAAAGAACACGCGTAAGATATCCATAAATAATGCATGATTAATCGTACAAGAAATTCTTTACTATGCATTCTCAATACGTATTCATAATAACTAAGTTTAAATTTCGAACATCCTTGATTAAGTACATGAACTTAAGATTCCAAAAATCGTAATAATATGGAATAATCATCCATAGTCAAAAATAACAATAAAAAAATTCTATTTGCATTAAAAACCAATTAATAAAAGACATTAAGACTTTGAGCATATATGCTTCGTATTCGTTTCAAATACGCCATATAAAAAAATACGTATAGAAATACTTGTATACACTCATCATAAAAATTTCTTCACAAAATATAAATAGAAAATGAAGAAATTCGGAGCACTTCAAATTAAAGTTTGAAACTTGTTTATAATAAAAACTTTTCGCTTCTAGACACTATCAATCGCTGAGATTTATGTACAGCAGCGATCCGTATATAAGATGATAATGAATTCGATCCACTGTCTTTGGAAGTTTATAAAGTTCCGTCTGTATAGTACAAATCGTTAGATAACGATAATTTCACATGTCTCAATACATGTAAGCGAATAGTCAACGATTGATAAGTATAGTAAAATTACACAAAATAATTCATCCAATTTGACAACTTAACGTTAAGTAATTTCTTATTTAGACTATAATATCGTAAAATGAAATTAAAAAATCCCTTTTATATAAAAAAAAATGTTATTCCCATATAAAATATAATTGATTAATATGTCCTTTAAAATTACATAACTTTTGTTTCAGATCTTTCTTCACATAAGGAAAAGAATAATTCAAACTATAATTCAATTAAATGAATCATTCTGCATAAAAGTTAATTTTCCAAATTAAATGTAAACGACAGCATAATTCATTCTCATTGATATTAAAATTAAAATTAGAGAATAATATATACGCTATCAAAATAATAAATTCTCTAATTGTATATAACGTTGTAGAGTTAAAAACATATATATACATATAAAAAAATATAATAGCATTGAGAACAAACCTGTACATCAGAAAGTATATACTATTACAGACCTATTTTGTAACTTTTCAAGTCTAACTATTTAAATCTAATTTAGATGATGACAGTATAATATTCTTTATCGTATATCATTAATCGGTCTTTTTATGCATATATTTTATACTATATAGTCACTTCCGGGTTTTATTCACGCTATATGAACATAATAATGATTCAATTACGTCCGCGGCTCGCTATATTCTTCAGTAAAGAATTTTTAGTGCTGTGGTCTTTAATGAAATTTAAATATTATTACCTTAAACCAGGCCTGTCCAACACTTTGCTCGTGAGTCGAAAACGCTTCCCCCACTCTGTCATCTCAGTAGAACGAGACGGAGCGAAAATAACAAAGGATAGACGTCAAGGCTCCGCCTGAATTCAGGTCTGAGAGGGGGAAGCGTTTTCGACTCACGAGCAAAGTGTTGGACAGGCCTGCCTTAAACGATCTAGCTGGATCTTAAATGCTTGTATAATTCTGTGTGAATTTATATACTACGTATGTAATCCTTTATTTTTCATAATAAGAATTAATTATTTACAGATTTTAATATATCATTCAGTATTATTAAGATCGTTTTAAGATGCATTAAAAAGTATCAAATTGTTAAATTGCTAGTTAATTTAACTCGTGATATTACTGCGACAGTTTAGTAGAGTTTGCGCTTCAAGATCGAAAAATCATTTCGGCGCGCATTTTAAAAGACTACATACGTAGTATATAAATTCACACAAAATTATACAAGGGCCGCGGTCTGATTCATGCTCAGACAACGCTTAAAAATCATTTTATCCTAGTTGTTTGTCAAATGTTAAACGAAGATAAATGGTCATGAGCGTTGTCAGCATGATCGGACACTTACGATCCAGCTAGATCGTTTAAGACATTATTTCTATAGGTTGTTTCTCACATATACGATCCTGTAAGATTTAATATTGTATTAATTATTTATAATTCGATCATGTGTGTTCATATATAAAAAAATATCTTACATAAAGTACAATTATTAATCAAAAAATATATGTCTAAATAATGCTAAATTTTAAAAGAATTGAAATAAGGCGATTAAATAATTACTGTATTTATAACATGAATAAAGCTTACATGTTAAGAGTTATATGTTATACATTAAAAAGTTACAGAATAGATCTACTAGTACCTACAAATAGCGGAAAGCTAGCTATGTAGGAACGTATACTATTAAGTCATTTTTAAATACTGACACAATATAGTTCGTATTCTTATTATAACTTAGTATCGTGTCAGTTCCTCAACTTTTTTTTCAATAACGTAGATCTTATCTTGTGTCAAGATACACAGTAGTGTATTCTTGAAAATAATTTCTTTATATAATTTTGCTTTGATATGTATTTGCTACAAAATGTGTAAAAATTGCTACTTCTTTAATAATCTGTCGCGAAATAATTGCTAAAATTTTTATTTTCTTGAGAAATATTAGAAATATTAATAAACCTTGATAATTCTTAAACCGTGTAAAGGAATGATCAAACTTAATATGAAAGTTACTTACTTGCAAAGACAATAAAAATATATAAAAAATTAATCACAATTGGATTATCAATATTGATAAAATTACCTAATCCATCAATACGATAATATTGCTATTTGCTATTAATTATCGTTATAGAACATGCTACTGTGTATCTATTATCGATAAGTTGGTATATATATCATTACAATCACAATATGCATGACATCCTATGCGAAAGTTTCTGGTGGAGCAGAAAACTTGTACTATGGTAAGACACAAATCGACAGTACGTAGTGACAAGGAAAAGAGTAATTCTAGCTGCATAATCCGGAAGGATCGACAAGTCCTCTGGCAATGAGCTCAGCCGTCGCGGGATCTCCGCCGCTCTGTTTACCACCCGACGGTTGCCCGTGCTCGCAATGCGAACGTATATGAAACATGAATTCGGCTTTATCCGTGAAGTCAGCGCGACACACTAAGCAAAAATTCCTCTCGGGGGTATAGGATTGCGGTGGCGGAGCAGGTCCTGGAAAGTATGGAGCAGCGTGTTGCGGCGGCATTCCCTCCAAATGAGATCTGTGATTGATCATCAAAATCAGTTGCAGACATTACATTAAAACTTAAATATATTGATATTGAAAATAAAGATATATTAACCGAGCGTGTTGCGTCCATTCCTCTCTAGTAGCGAATGATCGTCCACACAGTTCACAGGCCCAACTCACTGGCTCCTCTTTCAGTTTATGAATGGTATCTTGACGAGATGACTGTTGCTGTTGCGCTTGCTGTTGTGGCTGCTGCTGCTGCTGTTGTTGATGTTGATCGACTCGTGGTGTTGAAGGCGCTGACAGAGGCGAGACACCGGTTCTGTGTCTGAGTTTGTTCATATGGATAACCAATTTGTCTCGACGAGCAAATGCTTTACCTGCAATATGCATCAAGTTTTTTTATTCATTTAATTGTTTCTTTTTAGAGAACAGATCTGTGGTTTAAAATATTTAATAAAATGTATTCAATTATTATAATTTTCGTACTTACCGCATACTTCACAGGAATACGGCTTCTCTCCAGTATGTATACGCATGTGTATGACGAGTTTATCCTTACGAGCAAGTCCCTTGCCGCAAACAGTGCAGGCAAATGCTTTCGTCGTTGGCTCGCCAGTGTTAGTCGCCTTTGAGACAGATCCCGGACGAACACTCGCGCTATTTGTCGTCATTGTTCGTAATGGTTGATTTACCGCCGGTACTCTACTTCCAAATTGTTGGTCTGCTCCAGGAAATGCCGGCATCATGCTAGGGCGCATTGCGGATGAGTAATCCGAAGACCTGCAAAGTAGGAACTAATGATTGTTATGCTACAATAATTTCTGGAAACGATTAAAAATATAATTGTGTGAAATTCAACATGGAAAGCTTTAAAATGTAATAAAATAAGATTTTAATGTTAGAGGGGCATTTTGTAGAAAGCACTTTGGAAAACAATTCTTTTTATATAATCTGATATTTCTCTTCTATTCCACGACATTTATGAAGGTAAATCGTTAAATCTTCATGCGGAAATATCATATATTTTAAGAAGGTCAAAATGCCTTTTACATACCATGTTCCAATAGAACGCAGCACCCTTACTCCATCATCGTAACCGAGCCCATCGTCTGGTAAGGTAAACGTGGGATTCGGTGGCTGCGAGGCCGCGTGTGGCCCGGCTCCAGTTAACCTCGCTTGAGCAGCTTGCTGAGCCATATGCTGCTGCAGTGCCGCGTGTGCCGCAGTGTGCGTTTCCACGTAATTTGCATGCTGCTGTTGCCCACCGTTTGACATCTTGTCCTTATCCGTACTCTAAATTCATTGGTTAATTAGAGGTCATGCAATAATTAATCCTTATTTAACATTTTGACCATATTTGGATGACATGTAAAATTCGTAAAGATCTCTCTATTAATTCTAATCGGTATTCGCCGAAATCGCGGGTCTAGTGTATTTTAAATTAATATATCTTTACTAAACATTTTATATATATATATATATATAAAAGATTATGTATAAAGAATTATATAAGATTATGGAATTTTTAAAATTATATATCGTAGTTGAAAAAATGTCCGGGGGTCTACTGATCCCGCGAGCACCGATTAGGGTTAATTTTACCAATTGTAAATATTTAAGATATTAACCCGTAATAAAAACACATATTTTTTGTAACATTAAAGGAACTTATCCTTCAGACAAAAATTTTTTATTAGTTTTAGAATAAGTTTTAAAATTTTCTACTATACACATAAAAAAATTGCAACACTTAAACGAGCATAAATATAACCAAAATAGGAAATAATAATCAAAACTGAATCTTTAATGTGTGTTAAAATAATTTATTTAAGCACTAAAGATCCAGTTCTGAGCTTTATTTCCTGTTAACAACACAAATATATACGTAAGTCTCTCTTAATTTATTATAGTCATAATCCGTTGACTGATGATAATAACAGTGCTCTAAGATTACGTAGTTAGCTTGTGTCATAATATATTACTACATACTTCTTATTTTAAAATATTTATTGATATTATCAATGATATATTCGTCATGTTTCAATTTTTGTCTGAGACGATCAACAGTGCAAGTAAGAATTCTAGCAACCCCCTCCAGACGACAGCGTATGCTAATGCTTCGTCAAGGGGATCGATTATATACCTTGAAACAAGGTAAAAATTACAAAAGTGAATAAAGTTACGAAAGTCACCTAAAATATTTATAATTTCATTAGCCAATATCTATTGAATTTGCTCACTTTTGTAGTTTTCATCTTGTTTCAAGCTACACAATTGATTTCAAGGTCCCTCAGAGGAAAGGACAATGAGAAAATTATTACGCGCGGAAGTCTAGATTCACAACCTTGCTTTAAGAGGCCGTAAGTCGTAAAGCCATACGAAATTTATCAATTACAGTCGAATATGAGAAAAATAATTCACTGTGATTGGTCAACTTCCTAGCTTTACTTCTTACGGCTTATGGCTTCTTATGCCTGTTCTACAATAAGGTCGTAAGTCGTGAGCTATAAGAAATTGACCAATTACAACTGAATATGAGAAAAATAATTGACTATGATTAATTAATTTCTTGCAATTTACGACTTAGCGAAGTTGTGGACCTAGTCTCAGAAAAGAGACTCTAGAGAATGCTCTAAATAATTGTCATCGTAATTCGTTGATTAATGAAATTCATTTGTGCCCAATCATTTTCTCACTGGCACTAGATTATCAATCATTATAAAAAGACAAGAATTTCTGAATTTCGAAATACACTAAGCAAAGAAATCTGAAAAAAAAAAAAATATATATATATATATATATAAGAATGTGCAATGATCGAGAAGCAAAGAACGTTCCCCGGAAGAGCGAAACAGGGAGAAAGAAGCTGTCGTGCGAGTCGATCGTCTTAACGAAAGAAATGGGCGCCCGTCTTTTTGGACGCGCTTACCACACACTACGGAGACCAAGTCACGTTCCAAAGAAGACCGTTGGGCTTCGAAATCAAAGGACCGGGAGAACACTTTCGATCGGAGAGAGGCGGCTTTTCAAAATAGATCATGTGCGATCCAGATTTTTAAATCACAGCACCGATCGCGTGCGGTGGAGGAGGAACAATGACGACGAGAATCTGGTGTTCATTTTCGGAGGGGTTGAGGTCTTACACTCGGATCACTCGGGATGAGCCGGAGTAACGATAACTGGCACGCTTCGGCGAGACAGTTCACTCGATATACAAACGTTAACACTCGCATGCATATCCGCGCGAGCTATACATGCGAAGAGCTTACGCGCTTTTTGCGCTTTTCGCGACGCGTTCGAAGGAATATCGCGGTTCACGAAGCGATCAGAGAGAGAGAGTCACGATGCTGGCAGCCACCGCAGCCGCCGCCGATTCCCGGCGCGGGAGGATGCAAGGACAAAGAGGCGAAAAAAAGCAGCCGACAGCGCGCGGAGGGGATAAGCGCGAGACGGTCGGGGAGACGTCTCGCCGTCGGACTCGGAGAGAAGAAGAGAGGAAAGAAAGACGGAACCGCAGGTGAAGGGGGAGAAAGAAAAAAAGAAAAAAAAGAGAGGGTTCGACGAAGGTAGGGAAAAAGAGAGAGGGAACGACGTGTGCGTGTGTGAAGACGAAGGGGCGAGGGCGGGAAGAGGGAACGGCGAGAAAGAAGTAAGGCAAGAGCCGGTGACACACACGGACGGAGCAACGCGTGATACAAACGATGCCGTTCGGAGGTTCCCCGCGGAATGCACCGCGGTCGGCGCGTAGCCCGAGGGTGCGACGAAGAGGAGGTGAACGCGCGCGCGGGTACAACGCCGATACAACGAAAGACACGATCGGGAAGCGACAGAAAGAGAGACAGAGAGAGAGGCAAATGGAGGCCCGCTGGCCGGCGCGGCGCGGCGCGGCGCGACGGTCCGATCGGCAGGGAGGAACGGAAGGTGTGTGTTTATATGTGCATGCACACGGAGCGTTGATTCGTGTGTATCACTCTCGGCGGCATGTACCTACTACGAGAGGGATCGCACGAGAGAGGACGGGAGGCTGAGAGCTGTAACGGAGACCGATAGAGTAGATACTTATATGTGTGTGAGAGAGAGAGGGGGGGGGGGAAGGAGAGAAAGAAAAAAATGCGGCCGGGGAAAGAAAAACTTCAAGGGAGAAGGGGACCGCCGGAGCGCTGGAGGATAACCGCGACGCGTTACGATATACCCGGCGAATATCCCCGGAATGCGATATGGTCGACGAGAGAAATCAAACCGGAGAAAGTGAGATGCGAAATAACGAAGAATGACGAAGCGGCTGCTCGCAGGGCGCGATCAAGGGTGGCCGCGTGCCATGGGGGTGTCGACGCGATCTCGTTTGGATGGCTCGCTTTTGTCTCTTCTCTTTATTCGATTTTCTTTCTCTCTCATCGTCTCAGCATATATAATATAGATATATGCACCGGCTTATTCTTATTCTTCTTTCTTTCTTCTTTTTCTTGTATGATAATGGCGCTAGTCTTCTTTTACAGAGTGCTCTACAGCCAATGTCAAGTATATGTATCAGCGATAACCTTCGTACAACAAATATCGCAAACTATCGGTGAACAATACCGGATGCACGAGGAGCATCGCCGTTGTGTGCCATGCAACAGTGGCGGCGGCGACGACGGCGGTGGCGGCGGCGCTCCGCGACCGGTGCGTCGGCCCGCTGACCTTGACACTGACATTGAGAGAGTAAGAGAGAGAGGGCGAGACCCTACGAGGAGAGGGAGAGAAGGAGGGGCGGCAGAACTTACGCGCGCGCGCGCGCATGCGTGTACACACGGGAGCGATTCATGGGAGAGACGCACCAGGGACGACGAGGACGTCGTCTCGCGACCCTCTTCGCCGCCCGCGCCGCGCCGCGCCGCGCCACCGATATTCCGGAACGCCGGCGACGAGAGAGAAAGAGAATCACCCACGTAACGAGGCTGCGTCGATCTTGTCGGGGTATCCCGGGTTTCGAAACAGGTTTCTCGAACGTGCGCGTTGCGGGCCTGGCAACTCACGTTGCACCTGTGCCCAGGACTGCCGGATCGGCAGGGGAGAGCAGAGAGCGGGTGAGTTGAAAGAAGGATCGAGGGAGAGAGCGCAAGACCGAGAAGAAAAGAAGCGAAAGGAGATAAAAAGAAAGGGAGGAGAGAAGAAAAACAAGGGAATGGAGAAGAGATGGAATTTATGCGGTGTTCTATGATTAAGTCCTTTTCGAGCATGACGCATGAATGAATGAACATATGTAAAGCATGTATATCCAGAAGAAACGAATTCTGTGATAAAGGATGAAACAGTAACGTGCCTCACAGCATACAAAGATAAATTAATGAATTATATAAGATAGAAAAGTGATAATATTAAAAATCGTAAAAAAGAGATGAAGAAAAATAAAACGGAAAGAAACGCATGGGAAAAGCTGCAGTGAAATTAAGAAGAAAATAGGGGTATTACGAGGACGAGACAGAGGAACACGACAGGTGGAAGAGAAATAAGTTGCAGATAGGAGAGGAACGGGAAGGACAGTCGAGACGGCGAATGAAGGAGTATATTTACGGTGACCATATTTTCTTAGAGAAAGTAAAAGACGAACTTCGAATACCAAACAAGTCTCACATTACATCTAACATCGCTTTCCCTCTTCGATCTTTTCTTAATAAAAGGAAATTGCGCGTTATTGAGAATTGTCATTGAAAAAACATTCTTTTAGGTGTTGTAGCAAAAGATTGAAATAAACATTTTAATTCTATTAAATATATATATAAATATTTCACATTAAAATATATCTAGTAATATATGTACATAATACTATCTCAGCATATTTGTCGAATCGTAGAAGTTTTACTAATAAAATCGAAATGGTAAACTATCAATTTTCAAGTTCATATTCAACGTTGAGCATAATTACAGTAGCACATAATATCGCCCTTATAAATAAAACTAAATTTGTTAGCAGTTAGTTGATTCCACAAGAATTTCCCGTTAAAATAATGATGATAAAAGAAAGGACAAAATTGAAAATTATTTTGAAAAAGATAAAATTAAAGGATAGCTACCTAAATAAAGGACTATCCTTTACAATAAAGGACGTCATCGTAAATATACTACTACGACTTTCGCTTTCTGTGCGCGCGACGCACGTCTCGCGGTCGCAACGCACCGATCAATAGACGTCGCGACGTCGGTCGTCTCACGCACACGCACACACCTATACATTCTCTCTCTCTCTTTTGCCTCTTTCTCCTTTCCTCCTCCTATTTATCCCTCCTCACTTTCCGTCGACGTCTCGGTTGCGTACGCGAGGGTGGAATTATTGAGATCGCGCGCCGCGCCGCCGGGTGCAGCAGACACGGAAAGGGGGGTCAGCAGGAACTCGAGCAGCTACCGATCAGCGATGCCCCTGCGCGCGCTTCCTCTTTCCCCGTCGCCTCTTCACAACCCCCCATCCGACAGGACCTCTGCTCCTGTCTGACCGACCAGAAGTATGGAAGAAGAAAAAAGATATGCAGCGAGAGAGATACTCCTCGCGCCATTGATAACAGCCATTGATAAAATTTGACTTAATTTTAGCTTCACATAATCAGTCACTTGTTACAGCATTTTTTAGAAGATACTGAAGACCGCTAAATTACTAATGCTCGTTTCCATCAATACAGATTAACTTCAATCTCGGTTCAACTTACTCTTTGTCTTTTTCTAATTCTTAGAACTAGGAAGGGATGAAGAATAAATTAAACTAAGATTAAAGTTAGTCTACACTAAGAGAAAATTATTTGATATTTGTAACTATAATACGTTACATATTACTGTAATTGTAATTTGTTGCTAGAACTATACACATGGTTATTATTCCTAATATTATAGCAATAATAATCATAATTATATTGTAGTAATATGTAATTATAATTACAAACACCAAAAAATTTTCTTTCAGTGTACATTGGTAGGAAACAATTAATCACTATAAGGAAGAGGAAAGAGAAAAAGACAGAAAAAGAATGCTAGGGCGTTGTACAAAGAATCTTAAGGTGACTTTATGCGATCAATAATAGGAGATAATTAATACAGTTTTTATGATTTTTTTACTCGTAACTAATAACTGAAATATATTGCAAGAGAATTTTTCAATAGCCATGCTTAAACAATACAGAAATTATTTTTATAATTTAATAGTGTGATTATCTTTGTTTATTAATAGAAAACGTGAGGTGATGATACTTGTAATAACCGGCTCCATGTGCAGAGTTATTACAGTTATTGGAATCAGTTGTTACAGATTCAAATTTCAAAATATAATTAAAGAAAACATAAAAAAAAATGTGCATAACTTTATTAATAATTTTTAAGATAATACGCAATTATTATAGACATGTGTAATTATGTTATTGAATATTTAATAAGAAACGTTAACGATGAAATCTTACGTAAGATCACAATATCAGTTGCCGCTATTGCATTGAGGTTATGTAGAGATTATGGGCGAATTTTTTAATTCATCGATTGGTCAGTCACATTATGCGCAAATGCAGAATTTTACAGAACAAAATTACATTTGCGCACAATGCGATGGATCAACCGATGAATTAAAAAACTCGCCCTAACTTATAACAGCAGAGAAGCAGAAATTGTTGTAACAACAAATCCCGTAATAACTAATGCCGGCTTGCTATATTTTAATTCTTGTTTAAGCAAAAATATATTTCAAGACATAAATATAACTGTAAGTTATTACTCGTAAAGTAAAGATTCTAAAGAAATAGTTGGGATTATGATATAATGAACACAGTAATAAATATAATATTTAATATATTGCTGATTTATTATTTTACTTTTGACTATCACAAAAGCTGAAAATATTTTCTCTCTCTCTCTCTCTCTCTCTCTCTCTCTCTCTCTCTCTGAAAAACTACTATTCAGTCTGAAATAAACTCATTGCACGACCGCAATATTTTTGTAGAAATACTATACTTTTTATGAAATATTATCGTTTGTTATTTTGCAGTAATTTTAAATGTAGCAACATGCCCTGTGTATCAACTATTCCCGGTTTTCCCTACTGATCAGTAATATTGCATCAGTAATATTGACAGTGCATCAATATTTTTAGTATTTTTACAACGATCAGTATTATTGATAATATATTTCACTTTAACTTTTAAGTACGTTATCTATTGTATTGTAACATACTGTGACTTGAATCCTAATAAAGCAGTACTGATGCACTGATGCTCGAGAATCCAAATTCAGATCATCATCAGTATTCTACGTCAATTCATCAATTTAATTGTACACAATCAGTAATGTTATCAGTATTTGTTAATACTGACAGTATTATTGATCGTGTAGAGTCACCTCAAGTGACACTTGAATACGAGTTTGCATTAACAAAATTTCCAACTTGTGGATATTTGAGAAAATTAGTTTTGTTTAACAAGCAGTTTTGAATGAATAACACGTTTTGTTTTTCGAAAATTTAATATTACCAATTGATTGGTTTTGTTTTACTAATCGTTTTACTAATTTTGCTGTATTTGCATGAGTTACCTGTATATCCAATAACATGGACACTAAATTTCTCGCAATATTACAAATGTCGTCACATTATTGGATATTGCACAAATTGAAGATATATAAAACAAAATTTAAACAATCACAATCAGAATACACGTGATCTTGTTATAAGTTGTGGCATTGTAATAATATATTTACTATAAAATTTTCACGTTATTTAACACAATCTTTATATATAGAAAAAAATTTTACTTACCTGATTATTAAGCGTAACAATGTTTTTCAAGGATTCTGCATAATTCTTTAATATTGTCTCTGTGGATATGCAGCTAAGACGAAATTCGTAGAACATATCTAACTTGTAGATGCATCTCTGACAGATATTTTTGGGCAGTCCATCCTCTTTCCCTATCTGTGACAAAATGATCTCATGTTTTATTAAAATTATAACTGGCAAAATCTGATTTTAGAATTTTTTACACTAATCATTTCACTTCGAGCGCTGTGATTGTTTTCCTCTCCAACTTTTACATTATAAGGATATAAATGAGACAAAAGAAAATAGAAAATAGATAATGATCAAGAAAATCAGTATATTTAATCATAATCTAATCAATTGTTTTTAACACAACAAAATAAGTAGGTCGATTGTCAAATATAATAAAACCTGTATTCATTTCTACCACAACACGATGTAATTTTGGTTTAACATACTCTTTATCTTTTTGTAATTCTTGGAACTAGAAAAAAGCAAAAAGTCAAGTGGAAATTAGAATTAATCTATTGGTAGAAATGGACATTAACCAGTAAGTTGAAAATCGGCTAACCATAGCCAAACATTTTTAAATGATAGAAGTACATTTTCTACAATTCATAACCGTGATTGGTCAATCCGTTTACTACTTAAATCATTACCTACATTCTTTTATATGATCCTTAACAAAAAGTAAAGTCATCAATTATTACAATACTGGATCATTGGAGCATATCTCTCTGAAACTTTTAAGAGTAAATCTCTCAAGATAAGTGAGAAATCTCACTATCAAAGATCGAAAATTGAGTCACTCTTTTTCACAACTAGCTCAATTTTATCACTCTTCAGAGTTACTCCGAGGAACTTAGAGAACAGCTATTGATAAATCATACATACAGATAGCTTTGCATATATTGTATATGGAATTAATAACGCAATTTTAATCACTTTTCAATATTCTTACAGTACAAAATCTTTTTTTTCTCTTAACAAAATACGGATCTTTAAACAATTCAACTCGCAATTTTTTATTTTTTACAAAGACACCTTCATGTGTACGGGATATTTTTAAACGTACAAACGATTGAAAAAAAATTCCAATACAAAAGTTAAAACTTGCATCTGAAGCTCACGTGTCGAACGGAAAATTTTGGGCAGC